AATTCCTTTGCATCCACCCAGTTCTCTCCATCTCTCTTGCCACCACCCTCATCCAAGCAGCATCAAGGGTATTCTCCCTGTTCTTTCTGCAGACAGGCATTGTTTTCATTTAATCCATTGTTCAATTTGAAGCCAGAGTGATTATTTTACTAAACAAGTCTGATCTTGCTCTCCCCAGCCTGGAGCCTAGTTAGTGGCTTCCCATTGTCTCTGGTTAAAGTCCACATTCCTTATTGAGGCTGTCTGGAGTCTGGCCCTGGCCTCGTCCCCAGCCTCTGTTGGCAGTCTATGTCCCACTCATCTGAGATATCTAGCATATCTAAGTTATGCTGCACTCTTTGTAGTCTTTGGGTCCTCACCCTTGCCACCCTCCTGGAAGACTGTCCTTCATACTGTTCAATTCCACTGCTTCTACTCTTTTTTAAGATCTCAGTTTGGCTATCTCTTCTTAGAAAGTCTCCCTTGAGTCCCCAGACCAAGTAACATTTCCTGCTATGAAATTTCAGAGGCTCTGTGCTTTCCTTAACATAGCATGCATTTCCAGGTTTTCCTTGACATAGCATTCATTGAAGTACAAAATTGTCTGATTGCTTCCTCTCTAGGTTAAGGTTACAAAAGGAAGAGACTCCACATGTTCCAGCATGATAACTACTCTTGTCCATGCCTAGAGGATGCTTGAAATGTAATAAGTCCACAGTAAATGTCTAAGGAAAGGGGAAGAAGAGAGAGGAAAGAAGGGAAAATGAAAAAGGCAACCTGACTGTTCTGTAGACAAGAAGAGTAGAACTATTCTCTTCTTCATGCTGATGGGAAGAGAAGAGCTGATACATCCCAGCCTCCACCTCCTAAACTGAGAGCTCCTGAGGACAGGATCTCTGTCTCTCCCAAAGGTGTGTCTTCAGCCACAGGTGCAGTAAAGGCTGTTGAGTGAATAAATTCCTCCTAAGGACTTCTTGGTCTACATGCTAATCAGTGCTATATGCAGCCAGAAGCTGCTCTTTTATGGGATAAGCCTCAAATAACTAGTTGTTTAAAGAGCATATATATAAAATTCTAGAAACTTAACATGCAATTCATCTACTTGGACTAAAATGTACATTTTAGATTCACCATCAACAAACTCTCAATGAAAAGTTTAAACAGATCTAGAGAGCCTGAGCTCACAACATATTGTACACATGCCCTTTGGGAAAAGTATTCAACACTTTTGCCTCCATTTTATTCCTGTCCCATGAGGAAAGGTCCCTGGGTAGCACTTTAAGCACTCAGCTAACTGACAGATTGGTGGTTTGTATCCACCCAGATAAATTTAAGAATAAAGACGTGGTGAGCAACTTCAGAAAGATCACAGTCATTGGACACCGTGGCAGATAGCTTCATTCTGAAACGCAGGTGGTCCCATGAGCCAAAATGGATTTGCCAACAACTGGTTTGGTTTTGGAGAAGAGATGTGCATTGTGGGGCTGTTTTGAAGAGTATTATTTTGCACCTAGAATAGTCTTGACACAACCCAGGTGCTCAGTCAATGCCATTATTCAAAAGCAATCTTTTTAAAGAGATTACTTTTATGTTTTACTAGTTTGCATTTACAAAAATGTGTATATACTGTGTTTCAGTCAAATACATTGTGTTTCACACATTCCTTTTTTCACATTGTGTTTCATACAATCATTCCCATACATTGTGTTTTATAAAATTAATCACCATTGGTCCATGCCTACCATTACCCCACCTTTTCAGGTTCCTACTAGATCTTTGCTAATCCTTTCACTTCCTCTCTGTGCCCACCAAACTCTGTGACCTCCTGATTACCCTTTCTTCCCACCCCCAGCGCTTCTCCTCCCTCCCCTTGTTGTTATGTGTCGTCAAGTCACCTGTGACTCATAGTGACCCTGTGTACAATAGCCCTAAACTCTGCTCTATCCTGTGCCAATCTCATTGTCTCCAACACACCTATCCCCATTACCCCAGTCACTGAATCAATCCACCTCATAGAGGGTCTTCCTCTCCTACACTGTCTCTCCACCCTCCCAAGCATGATGTCCCTTTCTAACGACTGGTCCTTCTTGCAACATGTCCAAAGTATGTCAGATGAAGCTTCAGAATCCTTGCCTCCAAGGAGCAGCCTGGTTTCACCCTCCTTAGGATAAACTTGTTTGTTCTCTTTGAAGTCCATGGTATATTCAATACCCTTCTCCAACACCAGAGCTCAAAGGCATCAATTCTCCTTCTATCATCCCTAGTCATTGTCTAATTCTCTGAAAATAGCATAGCACGTAATTGCAAAGACCATGGCCTGTATCAAGCTTACCTTAGTCTCTAGACCAACATCATTGCTCCTCAGTACTTTGGAGAAGTCTCTGATAGCAGACTTTCCCAATGCAATTTGTTTTTTAATTTCCTGGCTGCTTGTGCCAAGAGTGCTGATTGTGGATCCAAGCAAACTAAAGCTGTTAACAATCTCAATCTCTTCACATAATCCTTGTATTTTTACAATTATGGTTTTATGCTGTGTTTTTCTTTATGAAACTGAGTTAGTTCACTCAGCATAACAGTCTCTAGTCTTTCTCATCTTATGTAATATTTTTCAAAATCTATGCCCCTGAGTACTGCATAGTATTCCATTGTGTGAATGTACCACAATTTCTCAATCCATTAATTTTTTGATAAATATTTCTATTATTTCCATTTTCCCATTTTCTTGCTATTGTGAATAGTGCTGCTATGAACATAGGTGACCAAATCTTTTGTGTCTTAGTTCTGTTTTCCTCAAAAAAAAGCAAGCATTCCTTTTTTTGGTTTTTGTTTTTTAATTTTTTTTCTTTGTCCTTTTTTATTTT